TATATATATATATATATATATATATATGTCTCGTCCATTACTGATAAAGATGACGACGACGACGACGACGACGACGACGACGACGACGACGACGACTGCGCCTAGGAGAACGGCAACCACTTTCACCATCACTCGAAGCCCAAGCACTTGATGAACGATAGATACAATTCGCAATCGGCCGCTACACGAAATTAATACACCTGCTGACAACGAGGGCTCAAGTGACGTAGTTGCGCTCCTCATTATTAGTTATTAAACACCGAAGGACGGTACATGTATACGGTAAACATGGGTACATGTATTTGTTCATTTTCGCCTCGGCATTTCGACTGTTCGGATAATTTCCTTACGCAACGAGCGATCACAATCTCCTTTATGGCCTAATATATTTACAACGGCTACCTCACACTACGTTACGTGAAAACTTTTTCGTTCATTCCGATACTCGCTAATGTCCAACCTAATTGCCCCTGTTTTACGCGAATACTATTTGGTTTTTCTTCATTTTGCATGAGGTCGCATTTTAAGCTAAACTTGCCCGTACCGCCGTTACGAAATTTCAAAAATAATTTAATAATGAAGTACTAATGTATGAGCAATTAAAAGTTTTATTGAAATTACATAAATTACGTTTCTTTTCGTGAAACCACATAGTCAGAGCGTGTCGAATAATATAAATTCATTGAATCGATTGTTTGAGTTACATGTGTGACTTTGTTCATCTTATCATTTATTCAAGTGATAAGATAATTGCTGAAAAAAAATGTATAAACACAATCGTCATCGGTAGCATCGATTTTCTGTCCGTCGCAATTTTGATGGATCTATTTTTAATTCTCTAGGTAATTTTTTCCTTTTTTTAATCTATAACTAATTTATAATTGACGAGGACTGTAATGTTTCTTACGTCGATATTGCTTGCTTGTATGTGATTTTTCGCTCGCCCCTTAATATTAATCATTGGCAAAGGCAACGACCTTAAATTAATGAAAATTCTAATTCTAAGATATAAGAACTTACCTTCCAACTATCTAACTATGAAAATTCTTACTTTTAAATTTACATTAACCGGCAAATTGTATATTTTGTAAAATATCCACATGCTTTCAATAAATATTTACATATAAATCCATGTTTCAACTTTTTATTATTCAATAATTGGTATTTATGACATTCTAATTCAAATAATATCTATAAACATGCTATTTTTATATTTTGCCACTTGTACGCATAAATTTTTCTTCAATTAAACTATGATTATTAAACAATTATATGAAAATAATTTCAATTATCGTTAATTAAAGTACTCATCATCTAATTATGTTTGAGCCTTAATAAAAATTGACTGTCATGTAGATAATTTTGTTTAAACTCTAAAGCTTGTAAGTAATAAACTGTGATAAAATTTTCAATTTCAAAGAAATTTATACAACTCTGTCGCCATGATACAATTATGAGAATATTATTATAAATTTTGCAAAATTTATAGTTAAATGTGAACAAGAAACTTACGATTCCTGAACCATAAGTATATTATATGAGAATTAACGCAACAGAATTGACTATGTTATAATTATTTTAGAAACTCTGTTGATTCGTTTTAAATGAAATATTTCAGATCTCAACATAATTTGGTGTGGTCAAATAAACAATCAACAATATATTTCATATTGCACTCTTTCAATCATTGAATTTTTAATTAATAATTTGAGCTTACTTTCAAAAATCAATTTTATTCATTCACAATTTTATTAAAACTATTCCCATGTATTCAACTTTTCTTTCAAATTAATTAAAAAATACAAGTCTTTTTAAAAAAGATCTAAAATCTAACAGACTATGTTGATATTTATTAAGAAAAAGTTTCATTAAACAGAACGAATAAATATATCTGAAGTTAAATTCTAATATACTCTAATATTATTAATATTAATCTCTCTTAAATAATTTATTCTGAAACCTTAAAATCGTAAAAATAATTGTCCATTTCACATTGCATTTTAATAAATTCATATTTTTTACAGATAAAACTTTCAGATCTCTTATTATATGGAAATTATTTTGATATCATAAACTGTAATTAACTATAACTTGCAAGTCAACAAGTATGAACATTAAAAAATATTCATTTATAGTTAGTAACAGAAATAACTAAGATTTATTATTTTTAATTTAAACATTTCACCTCATAATTTGATATTATACACGCGCGCACACACACACACACACACACACACACACACACATATATATATGGAATGTCAATTATAAAATGTATATAAAACGATTTTTTTCTTCGTAATTTAAGATGAATGTGTATTACAGATTAATTTTTATATAAAAATTTAAATAATGATTACTATATGAAAATTTATCTGTTCTCGTGCATTTAGAACATTTATAATATTATTATTTGAAAGTTTGAATGTTATTAAGTAGCGAACTTATGGAGATTACCTAATTTTTGTCAATATTATTAATGACATTGGAATGATATTCTAAAAAATATTAAAATAACTTTTAACTTATAATAACACAAATATAATTTTTAACGCACGTATAAAGCTCAATTGATTCGATCCAACTCACCTACTCATTCATCTCTCAAACTTTACACGTCCAATGTGAAATTTCATATTTCTTCTTCGATGTTCCACGTAAAATCACATATTATCCGCTATCGGAATCTCTCTCTCTCTCTCTCTCTCTCTCTCTCTCTCTCTGTCCCTCTCTCAGTACCACTTACTAGTTGAATTATACGGATGAAACTAGTCGCTTGTCTACGATTTATATGACTGCAATTAATTCTTGAGCCGACAGGATAATTGATTAAGATAAATTAACATTATCAGATCATCGTATCAAACATCGATCCGCTAAAGAGGGGACAAAAACATTTAGAAAACAATAATATATTGTTGACGAATTGTGGTGATAATAATTAATCATTTGCTATAATTAGGTTGTATTATATAAGGAATTTATGTAATAAATAATATGAATTTTAAAAATATTTAAAAAAAAAAAAGAAGACATCACAAACATTATTAACGCAACATAAACATTATTATGAATATAAATTTCACAGTGACAAAAAATTTTTTAAAAGCAATTTGTACTATTGTAAAGTTCTGTCGCAATTCACTTATAAATCTTCAATGCTAATTGAAACAGAGTTTATAATGGATTTTTTTTTTAAATAGCCTAATGAGTGCTTTAATTTTTTATAATTGTGGTAAAATTTGTAAAATTTTTATTTTATAAATATATTTAAAATATATTTTAATGTACAAGCGAGAAGTAACGTTCTTATAATATGGTATGATGTAGCGCTATATTAATCATTAATATCGATAAATTCACGAATTAATATGATAATAACACTTTTATGAACATAGCATAATGTATTAAAATATTTTGTTATTGTTACCATTTTAAAAAACTTAAAATGAAAAACTTTCAGTGAGCAATAAAAGAAAATTTGTTTACATTTGCATTACCTTGGCTCATCTAAAATACATAAGAAATGAGTATTAAGATTGCGTGCGCAATTTTCATTTTGAAGAAAAAACATAAAGTGTAATGATCGAGATAAATGTTTACAAGGAAATAAGACTTTAAAGAACCCAATTTTTGAAATTATGTCCTTAAGAATCAATCAGACCGAACGCAATATAAATTCCTTGGTAATGAAAGTCAATCGAACCACCGCCATGCGCTAAGGAAATAGTGTCAATGTTTTTCCGACTTGTAAACACCTGCACGACGTGTCATAGTCACGAAAAATCATGACAACTCGAGGAGGGAAACGAAGTAATGATCTTGAAAACCAATGAGAAGAAGCATATAATTTATCACCACTTGAACTTATTTAATACGGATCATAATATATTGACATCAATGTACATTACTGTTGTTTTCATTTCAAATTTTGTCATTTCACGCAATAAATAAGCACCACCAACATCAATTTTTACATCCTAATTCCAAATATAAAAACTTGAAGCAATTTGCTACTTTTTTTTTTACATTAAACTACTTTATACGTATTTCCAGTGAAGTAAAAGAATTTAACATTATTTTGAGATGTAATTCTCTAAAATATATAATTATTTATGAAGTATATTCTGCTAAAATAGATTAAATTGCTAAAATAGAGTACAAATAAATAAAATTCATCAATTATATATTACTTAGTGCAATAAGAGTTGTATAAGAGCATTCATCATGTATTTTATGATGTACTCTTTATATTTTTAATGATAATTAAATGGAAAATTAAAAACTAAAGTCAATGAGAAGAACTTATTCTTAAATTACTTGTTAATAATAAATTAATAATTGATATTGATTAATTTGTTCAATTTTAATTTTTTGCATAAAAAAACATTTTTATTTATTG